TCCGGCTCAACTGTGGCTTCACTTGGAAACATGGAGTAAGCATCCCTCTGTGTTGACTCTCCTCTTTGTAGAGTGGACACTGGTTTGAGTCCCTCTAGTGGGGTCTCCATGACCTCCCTGAACAAGAAGACAGGTGAATCGTCACAGTTGCAGGAATTTTGAGGTCCTCTATAGTCCCTTGGGACTTAGTTGACCTTGGAGGGCAAGGAACAAAATTTTGTCCCTTTAATTTCCTTTAATCAGATTGGTATAAGCCTTTTAATATGGTCAGCAAACATTCAAGAAGGTTAGTCACACCAGTCTGGTACTGTTAATTACTGTGTAATATGTAGATAAAGCTTGAACAAAAACTGAAATATTCTTGAATAAACCTTGGCTAGACACATATTTTGTATTTTTATTAGCTGTTATAAGAATTAAAGGTTTGACTGAGGTTTGACCTTAGAAAGTTTAAAATTACTTTAGTAGATGTAATTCCATAAAGGGCTACCCAGATATGTGGGAGGAGTGTTCCTAAATCAGAAAAAGAGGGATTAAACATCACAGACTGAGTAAGCATAGCTCAGGAAATGAAGTTAAAACCATTTTTTAGGTGTGTTTTAGATGGTTTGCTGCACTGGAAACAGAAGAAATCTCCCTCCTTACCCACCACCCCCCTACACTGATTTGTAGTTTTTCAGAAGGAAGGAGAGATAACATCACATACCTATAGACAGGAAATCAGCTGATCAGGATTCAGACCAAGCTCACCAAAACTGCTTGCTTCTATGCTGTACCCATCTGGTACAGGGAAGCAAAACCTAGCCCCTCTTGAGCCAAATTATCTTGTTATGGACAAAACAAAGTACACACTAGCGTAATACAGAGAAACATAAAGGATAGCTTTCAGGTATCTCCAGTACTTGATGGTAACCATTTACTCTAAGACTGTAACTGGGTGTTCAATACAAGCCAGAGGAGAGAACTGAAAACTTTTGTCTGTAACAGTCATTATTATAATAACAACTCTGTATCTCTATACACCTGCTCAGACCTTCTAGAAACTTGCTTAAATGGTCTCATTGTCCTGTCTATTCTGGAAATATCCTGCCATCTTAATCTTTGTATATGTCTTACTTTACTAAAATATATTTTATATTCTTTAACCAATTTTTAACACTTTCATTTTATTTATTAATACCATGAGACATAATAACATTCACAATCAAATTTATCATTTGTTTTGAGAATTTACTATGCCATTGTTAGAGAGAGAGAGAGAGAGAGAGAGAGAGAGAGAGAGAGAGAAAGAGAAACAATTATCTAAAATATACCATTATAATGTATAAGCTTTGAGATGTCTTTGTGAGTCTTGAAACAGGTTTTAAATGACTTATTTTAAAATATTTAGAGAAGTTTAACATACGTTTGGCAAAGATATGGATCTTAAGAAACCTGTTTGTTGGCTTTAAAGAGGCAGTAGTGGTAAAATACTTATTTTCTGTAAAACATATCTAAAAACAAAGAGATAAAATACACCCTGGGGTAGAAGTAATTATTATTCAAAATTAATTTATATCTTCAATTAAAAGGAGCCACGCTTTAGGACCAGAATTAAGATGAGGATCAAAGAGATAACATTTTAACCTGAAAAAATATTTATGGTTAATTTATTCATTTTAGTTTATATGAGAACCAAGATTTTGAAATTACTCTTTTGTTATTGTTACTTTTATTTCAAAAAGGAAACAACACAAAGATCTCCAGTAAACATATACATTCATTATTTTATGTGTCTATCCATAATAAAATTTTATATGTAATAGTTTTATATTAAGAACACTCAAAAAAGTAATGATTTTCTCATCTCTAGCAATTACACAACTGAAAAAATTTTAATGAATACATCCTTATTCAGAACATGTTTTGAAAGAGAGTCTTAACAATTTTTTATTTTAATTAATAAGCTGTTTTGTACAAACAGTATTAGAAAAGATTTTGTGAACGTTAATAGGTTTAGAGACATTGTTCAATATTTTGTAAGAAATATAGGTGTTTCGTCAAATCCTCTCCTCCCCCCCTTGGGAGACCCATGCGCCCATGCCCTCTGAGGTCCCAGGGCCGAGAGAATACCTCCTATTTGGGTTTTAGCATGGTTTATACGACGTCCAGGAGAGGGTGACTTACAAAGACATGAACTCCCATAGTCCATCTTTTACATTTTGGCGAAGGTTTGAGATCACCCCCACCGTGGCCGCTCTTCCTGTGGGCCCCACAAAACTTGCTCCTAACATGGCACCCACTCCTCTCCTTCATGCAGCTAAGGTCAAATGATTGGGAGGGAGAGGTGATGGGCTTCTGCCTTCCTGATTCCTTCTGCAGAGCATGGGAAGGAGGTGGGACAATAGCTTGTGTCATAGTGGGTGAATGGAGGAACTTCAGGTTACTTTAAGGTACTGAAGTTTATAATGCCTTTGAATATATCATTAAAATACCCATACTTGTAAATTTGTACATGTATATTTAATTTGGCATGCCAAAACAAAACCAATAATTTTTTATAAAAACCAATAATAAATTTGTATAGTGATCATAGTTTTTTTTTTAAATTGGTTTTGATGGAAACATATGAAGACAACTATCATAGACACACATGACAGAATTACATGAGATCACAACACACAAAAACAATATGTGTCATACTTACATGAAATCTCAAACAAACACGAAAAACGACCATCATAGACACATATGACATAATTCCATGAAAACTAGGTGCACCCAAAACATGATAATAAACAAGTTTGAGTATGATGATCTTCTGTAAGGAGGCACCACTTAAGTCAGAAAGGAGGCAATGATTTAACTCAGAAGAGGGTACTATGTAGCATTATTTTACTGAAATTAAATATAAAAAGGTACTAAATCAATATAACCTATGTACACATTGGGACTGTGTGGGGTTCCAGGTGAACGTAACAGGAAACGTACTTCAGAGTTTTAGGATTTCAATGAGTGTAAACAGGAGATAGAGAGAAAAACATGATCAAATTGAGGTCTACAATAAATGTTATGAGGGTGGTAGGGAAGGCAAGTGTGAAGGGGAGGGATGGAGATCCGACAGACGGAATGGAAGCTAAACCTTGGTGGACAGCAGTTCCTCAGGAGACAGAAAACCTGGAAATAAACTTGCAGTGAGTGGAAAAAACCTAAAACAGTTCCTTTTAAAAGCCAGCAAAGAGCTGAACAAAATGAAAATAAGAAAGAAGAATTAAATCAAGGGACCGGAAACGACTGAGGGTCAGGTGCTGGGAAAAAATCTCCAGACTGATGACTCTGACCCTCTGAACAGCCAAGGAGGTAAACTCGTCACAGCAGGGGGAGATAAACAAAACTCCTGCTTTTGATTTGGCAGAGACCAAGAGGCTGGACTGGTTTTCTGAGAACCAGGACCAGGGGACAGTTGTGGTTTGCTCCCTTGCCTGCCTTTCAGAGAGGAATGAAGAGAAAGTTTTAAGCAGCCCACGGGATACAGAGATAGCCTGGGAAGTGAAGAAGCCCTAAATATAGGGAATTCCAGACGCCCTGTCCATTTCCTTTGATAATGTTGTCTATATCAGTCACGATATTGAAACCTGAATTTGGGCCAGCGAGAGCCATTGACTATTGTGTATTGGGGCCCAATTTGGACTGAAAACTGAGTAAGTATGACCGGTCTTGGTCTCCAAAATGGAGTTCTTTTAGATTAGCCTGAAGGCAGGCTAGGGGTGCGTCATTTGGAGGAGACAATTTGGAGCCCATGGTGGGTGGGTTCTAGAGCAACGTGAAAAGGAAATGGAGGTCATATCCAGCCCCCCAAGGTGTTCCTCCAGTTTGGATAGACCAGCAGTGGGTGTGGGGTCTAGAAGGCCTCCCCTTCCTTGTGGCCTCCAGGTGGTCCAGTCCAAAGAAAAAGAGTCCAGTGGGAGACTCCTGGAGCCTCATTGAGCTGTCCAGTGAGAAGCTCCAGGAACCTCATCAGGCTTCATAGGACCAACAGAAAATGGGGGAAACCGTGGAGTTCTGGAGACCTGATCAGTGGCACCCCTGAATCAGGGTCAATGGCAGGTTGGATTACCTTGTCCCTCTAAGAAAGAGGGAGAGCAGGGAAGAGGAAGGAAAAAGTGAGAGATTGTTTTCCTTCACTCCGAGGAGCCCAAATAGGTCCACACAGAACAGAATAGACCAGAAGAGTAGGAAAGTCAAGGAATTTCCAGGAGGAGGATCCAGAGCCTCCAGTGGGTCTCCATGAACCCTCCTGGGTTTTGGCACTAAAATGTTAGGATTTGGACCACAGAACACAGTAACAGTAGGAGCAAAAGAGACTCAGACAAGTCTGCATTTATTCAGCACAGTGAAGGAGTGAAGGACAGTAGCCTTCCTTGTGTGATGGAGGTCGGTGTCCTGAAGGGAGCTGGTTGAAGATTTAGAGTCTAGGCAGAGGGACTTAGGGTGGCTTAAGTTAAAAGAGTGCAAAGGGACATGCAGGTTAAGACACACCAGAGAGGTTTATGGCCACCTCCTTCCTGGCACTGTTTGCTCCAGTTTATCATGAGAAACAGATTTGTGGTCTGCTTTTCCTGGTACCATTTGTTTAGGGAGACAGGATGTGTTGGGAAACAGGCTGTCTCAACAGTCTTCCCTGATTCCTGACTGTAGCCGATTGATAAGGTCAACCCACAATGGTTTTCTGCCACCAGGGCATTCTATCAACAAGGTCACTCCATATCCAGCACTCCAGCACACGGGCCATCAGACTTTTCCTACGTTCTGAACATCAGAAGTTGGCACTTCTTCTCCTCCAGGTTCTTCATTATTATACCCAAACCCAAGGGCACAGAATGTCCCAATTTCAGACCTGACAGGTAAAGGGATTCCTTTCCCCTGTGACCTGTAAGAACCAAGGGTCCCACTATGGAACTGTGTTTACCTGCTGACTCCCCTCCTCCCCATCAGCATCCTTGGCCCCTCCTATTTGCCTGTTGATTTTGCAGGTGCAGAAGGATGAGGGGGGAGAATGGCACCAAGGTCAGCACGTTCATCCTGCTGGGCTTCCCCACGGCCCCTGGGCTGCAGTACGTGCTCTTCCTCCTCTTCCTGCTCATCTACCTCTTTGTGCTGGTGGAGAACATGGCCATCATCTTCACTGTCTGGAACAGTGCCTCCCTCCACAGGCCCATGTACTACTTCCTGGGCATCATGTCCACCTTGGAGATCTGGTACGTGTGCGACATCATCCCCAAGATGCTGGATGGCTTCCTCCTGCAGAGGAAACGTATCTCCTTTGTCGGGTGTATGACTCAGCTCTACTTCTTCAGCTCCCTGGTGTGCACCGAGTGTGTCCTCCTGGCCTCCATGGCCTATGACCGCTATGTGGCTATCTGTCACCCCCTGCGTTACCAAGTCATCATGACCACTGGGCTGTGTGTCCAGCTCGTGGCCTTCTCTTTTGCCAGTGGCTTCACGATCTCTATGATTAAAATCTACTTCATCTCCAGTGCCACGTTCTGTGGCTCCAATGTCCTGAATCACTTTTTCTGTGACATCTCCCCTATCCTCAAGCTGGCCTGCACAGACTTCTCTACTGCAGAGCTGGTAGACTTCATCCTGGCCTTCATCATCCTGGCGTTCCCACTCCTGGCCACCATTCTCTCCTATGGACACATCACCCTGGCTGTGCTGCGCATTCCATCAGCCACAGGTCGATGGAGGGCCTTCTCCACCTGTGCCTCCCACCTCACTGTGGTCACCATCTTCTACACAGCCTTGTTTTTCATGTATGTGCGACCTCAGGCTATTGATAGCAGGAGCTCCAACAAGCTCATCTCTGTTCTGTACACTGTCCTTACGCCCATCTTGAATCCCTTGATCTATTGTCTAAGGAACACAGAGTTTAAGGATGCCATGAGGAAGGTCTTGGGGTTGAGTCAAGCTCTGTCATAGGAGGAGTGCCACCTGTTTAGAATCTAGAGCTTCTTCTGAGAATGCACACCCCTTGTGAGGAGTCTTCCGGGCCAGCCACGGTGAGGACTGCATTGCTGAAGTGCTGTGCATTTAAAGCTTTCTTTGCTCATCCGCTTTCCTCCTTTGTGAGGTGACTGTCATATGACTCTCATAGGCTTTTGTCATAATTCCATTCTTTTATTTTGTATATGTTAGCAAGGCATACTTTTAAAATTACCACTCACAGGGCTGGAGAAATGGCTCTGTGGTTAAGAGCACTGGCTGTTCTTGCAGAGGACAAGGGTTCAAATCCCAGCATTCACATGGTGGCTAACAACCATCTGTAACTCCAGTCTCGGGGGATCTGATGCCCTCTTCTGGCTTCTGGGGGCATTGGATGACACAGGTGCACTTACCCACATGCAGGCAATACAGTCATACACATAAAATAAAAATAACAAATAAAATGAAAAAAAACCACTCACATTTCAGAAGACGGTAAGATATGCCGGGTCAGGGGAGCAACTCCGACCTCTGTCTCAGTGTGTGAAAGGTTGAAGGCGGCTATACGGTCTGATGAGCTCCAAGAGTCCCCAAGACATCTGAGCTGTGAGGGGCCATGGGCTTGCTTTAGTCCCTCAGGGCATGCTTTCTGGAAGTTCTGAGGAACACCAGCCTCAGGCTTTTCTCTACAGACAGCCAGTCCCAAAGCCCTTCAGCTTCTGAGACAATAAAAATCATCTTTTTAAGACTTGAATTGACCTTGGTTCACAGACAGGTGGGAAGCAAATCTTCTTGTCACTGTTGGATGCTTAAAGATAAGCACAGTCCCTGGTGCCCCTTAATCACCCAGGGGCAAGCTGGGGAAGATGGGTGGTGGTGGTGTGCAAGTAGAAGAAACCCAGGAGGGCCACCTGGGGGTATGGGGCCCGTCCTTTAAAACGGGAACAGGAGTGATTCATGCAGAAGGGTGGAGAAGAGGAAAGGAGGGTCAAATAATTTCAGCAGTAGCAACACGGAGAGGCAGGAAGAAGCAAAAAACAGTGCAGAACACAAAGTGCTCGTGGGGTTGGAGCTTGGTCCTCACATGTGGGTGGGACACAAGCAGGCAGATTGCCGAGCATGCGTGGGCTGTGGCAGAGTCGGGTCCCGAGCATGTACTGGCTGTGGGAGACAGTCAAGATCCGGAGAATGTATGGGCTGTGGCAGTCAGGTCCTGAGCATGAACTAGCTGTGGCAGAAGCCTAGACTTTACCCTGCAGCTAAAGCTCAAATTCCTGTCTCAGCCCATTTGGCAGGTATGTGGGAGATGAACAGGGGCCTTCTGGAAGGCTGGAAGATTGTGTAGGGGTGTTGGGCTTTTCTAGGAGGGATGAAGACACTCTAGATTGAGCAGGGAATACGAGGGTGAGGCAGGAGTGACTGGGGATATCCAAGAACCACATGGATGTTCAAGTAGGCGTTTGGGCTTATGGTGGGTAAGCAAGGAACTGCGCAGAGCTTCCAGGTGTGTGATGGAACCTAGTGGATGACAGCTGCTCTGGGATGTGAGGACAATTGAACACCTGTCTAAAGTTACACTGCTGTGTGGCTAGAGTGGCACTGACTTGGCGACACTCTGGGCTCTGCAGCCGGTGGCGGGAGTGATCTGTGTCCAGAGGCAGGATGCAGGGTAGGACAAAAGCTGTGTGAGTCAAGAGAGATGATAATTCAGTGGGGTGAATCTCTGGGCTATGCTGGGGTTGGGGTGTGGGGAGTTTAATTTCGAAGTGGATTCACTTTTGAGATTGCGAATTTCATGCCAGTCTTGGGATCATTGGGCTGGAGGGCAGAATAGGCTCAGACTTGTTAAGAAAGGATTCAGATAAGACAATTTAACTGAACGAAGCACTCAGTCTTCAGGTCTAGAATAGATTCAGAAAATTCCAGAGACTGGGGCTGGAGAGATGACTTTGCAGTTAAAATCAATGGCTCCTCTTGCAGAGGACCCACCATTCAATTCTCAGCACTTACATGGCAGCTAAGAGCCATCCATAACTCCAGTTCCCAGAGATCCAGTGCCCTCTTCTGACCTCCAGAAGGGCCTCAGCACTTACATGGCAGCTAAGAGCCATCCATAACTCCAGTTCCCAGAGATCCAGTGCCCTCTTCTGACCTCCACAAGGGCATTGCACAACACCGGTGCAACTCACATACATCCCGCAATACACTCATACACATAAAATAAAATAATAAATAAAATATTTTAAAAGAAAATTCCAGAATTGCAACACTGTGATGATTACTCTTCATCTTGATTGGATTGCGAATCATCTAGAATTTTACATGTGTCATTAAAGGTATTTCTAGAAAGTTCTAACTGAGGAGAGAAGAGCCCTCCTGAATGCAGGTGGCATCATTACATTGACTGGAGTTCCGGACTAAATAAAGAAAAGAGGAAGCCACTGAACGCTAGCATTTATCTTTCCTTGCTTCATGACTATGGACACACGGCAAGCCTCCATGCTGTCTAGATCAGTAGGAACATCTTTCCAGTCTTCCTCTGGGGTTTTGGGGTGATTCTCAGTGAGAAGCCGGAGAGGCACTAGTGTTCTACCAATATTTGCTGACTCTTTGATCTTACTGTTCCACCAATCCTTTGTGATTGTCTGACCACAAAACGACCACTCTGTTTTCATGGTTGTATTTGCTTGCTTGTTTGTTTGTTTGTTTGTTTGTTTGCCAGAGAAGAAGCCCTAGAGAAGGTCATCCATTGACTATGAGGAAGAGAAAGGACCAGGGAAGTGAGGGGACTTAGGGCCCTTCTGTACCACAGATGTCTTGGCTTGTGTTCTTGGGAAAGCTGTCCACCTGCTTCTGGGAGAAACTTTCTGATCAGCCTTGAATCGTGTCTCCAGTAGATGTTCTGATCAGGAGTCTGCAGGGAACCTTAGGAGTTGGACATGTGGACCCAAGTATCAAGGCTCTACAATCTTAGTCAAGAAAGGTGGTGGAAGGATTTGGTGCATCTGTCTGCAGTCTTCCTCTCCTGCTGTAGTGAGAAGACTGAGTATCTAGGTTCTGGATGAAGTGTTCTGTTGTGCTTGGTGGATCAGAGAAAGCTTCCTTTAACTGCTAAAAATGCACTTGGGTATTAAAAACTCACTGCACTTAGTGGTGAGTGGAGTGGCCGATACATTTGCTTCTATCATGAGTGGAACAGGTCACCAGTAGCTATTTCCATGAAATCAATCTGTATTTTCCAGTGGAGTGGATCTGATTGTCAATAATTACACTTCTACTTAAGAAGCCCGGGCATGGCGGCACCCACCTTTAATCCCAGCACTACAGAGGCAGAAGCAGGTGGATCTCTGAGAGACTGAGGCCAGTCTGGTGAGTTTCAGGCCAGTTGGGACTACAGGGAGACCCTATCTCAAAGACTCCCCCCCAAAAGGATGAAGGAAGGTGACCAAAATGACAACAACCAACACCTAACTCTAGATGTGTAAGTTGCAATACAAAAATACAAGTGACATGAAAAACCAAGATGAAATTTTCTCCAAAAATTACCAATCTCACAGTAATTGGACCTTATTGAGAAGAGCTTAGACACAATTCCAGACAAGGTATTCAAAGGAATGATTTTCATAAGTTCAAAGATAATAAGGATCTCACAAATAAACTCCTGAATGAATTTCAAGAGAACAGAAACAAGCAGCTGAATGAAATATAGAAACCAATACAAGATGTGAAAATGGGGGCGGGAGAGATGGCTCGTTGTAAGAGCCCTGGCTCCTTGCAGAGGACCCAGGATCCCTTCCAAACACCCACATGGGGGCTAACAAGTGTCCAACACTTCAGGTCCAGGGAATCCTATGCCTTCTTTTGGCCTGTATGGACAATGCATACATGAGTGTACTTACATACATGTAACACTCATACACATAAAATAAAGTAAAAATGTTAACTTTTTTGAAAAAATTATCTAAATAGAATTTAAGAGAGAGAAACATTGAAGAAAAAGCCCACTAAAATACTATAAAGGCAAATATCAATTAGTCAAATAGAAAAAGCTGAGTTGGAAGGCTCAGCAATATAATGGTTCACAGGGAGGACAGAAGAACAGGATTTAAAAACGGGTAGAGACATTGAAACATTCAGACAAGGTCAAAGATAAACTAATGAAAAGGTATGTATGGAAAATGTGGTATCTCTGGAACAGTATGGAAAGATGGAACCTGTGAATTATGAACACAGAAGAAGAACATGCAAGAGAACATAGAAAACATTCTTAAGAAAATCATTTCAGAAAACTTCCCAAATATGAGGAAAGAGATGCCATTCCAGGTACAAGAGACACATGGGACACCAGATGGAAGGAGCAAGAACAGAAACAGCCCACATCATATTATAGTTAAAGCAATATATATATATA